ACTACCCCTACTATATATATATATATATATATATATATATATATATGTATGTATATATCATTTGAGCCTTATCCCAACTATTTGGGGTTGGGTACACGAGTCCTATTCCGCCATTCTGCTCTATCCAGGGCCATACCCTTAGTTAGACCATAAGTCACCATGTCTCTTCTCGCTACTTTTTTTCATGTCCTTTTGGGCATTTCCCTTGCCTTTTTAGAGCCTTTCTATTTGAACCAAATTGAATGGTATTGTATTAGGTCTATGCTGCACATGACTAGCCCACTTAAGTCTAGTTTCCCTTATCTAATTGCTTATTGGAGCCCCTCATAAGTTCTCTTAGATGCATTCATTTCGAATTATATCATTTCTTGTCTTGCTACTCATCCATCTCAATATCCTCATGTCAAGTACACTCATCCTATGGACATGTTGTTTCTTGACCGCCCAACATTCTATCCCATAAAGCGTTGCTAGTCTTACAACCATCTCATAGAACTTTCCTTTTAGTTTTATTGGTATGTGACAATCATATGAAACTCTGGATGCACATCTCCACTTTACCTGCCCAGCTCTAATACTATACTCGACATTGTCCACAATTTCTCAATTCTTCCGAATTATCAATCCAAAAAATAAACTCTTTTAGGTATTTCTTGGCCATCAATCTCAACGATTTCTTTATTTCTGCTCCCATTATTATTAAACTTAGAATTCCATATATTATGTCTTAGTGTGGCTAATTTTAAAAACTTTAGATTTTAGTGCATCCCTCCAAAGTTCTAAATTTGTATTGACGCTGCCTCTAGTCTCATCAATCAAAATTATGTCATATGCAAAAAACATGCGCGACGGTACCTCATCCTGTGGATGCCTAGTTAACTCGTCTATGACCAAAACAAAGAGATATGGGCTCATATATATATATATATATATGTATATGTATGTATGTATGTATGTGTGTTTATATAAAGGGTTTTTTTGTGGTTAATGCCTCATGAAATGCAAAGGGTAAAAGCATTTTTGTCAATGGAAAGGGTATTGTTGATATGTTCACTAAAAGACAAAGGTAATTATTGAGTGGAACTCTAGGTATTTTATTACTATGAAAGGCCTTATGTTTTAGTGAATATTAAAAAAATGGCCTCCTCAAGATGACATATGCTTTATGTTTTAGTGAAAATATCAATAATAACCTTTTTTAGTGATAAAAATACCTATACTCATCCTATGGTAATGGAATAAGGAAAGGGGCAATGAAGGTGATTTCAATGTCTCACACCTCTTACAAAATGTAACCTAAAGGATTTTATGTGGTGTTCACCATAGAAAAACCCATATATATATACTTGTATATATGTATATTGAAGCTTCTAGAAGTTGCTCCCAAGGGAGCATACATTTTGAGACGTAAGCAAACAGAGAGAGTTAAAACTAAAATAACATGAAATTGGTGAGTGACCCGGACTCACAAAATAGTCCCAACTATAACTGCCTGGGCAATCTAATGAGTCAGCGAGTTCATTGGCCACCCTTACGGCATGTTGAAATGTCACATGTGGATTTTGTCACAGGTTGCATATCTCCTCCCAAGTGTGTACTAATCGCTATGGTGGTGTGCCTTCCCTTCCCACTTGTCGAATCATTCTAGGAATCGCATCAACGAGTGGGGGACCTGAGAAAGAATGAAAAATATGAGCAATCCCGTGAGAAATTGCTAGGGCCTTAGCCGTACTAACATCTCCAACCCCTGTTGGCCCTGCATAGGTGATCAAAGTCTCTCCCGTATGGTCTCTTTAACATTTCCCCTACACCAGTTGGGCCCTGGTTGCCTAATGAGCACCTGTGGAAATTAGGCTTGAGAACCCCATTTGGAGGCTTGCTCTATGAGACATAGATAAGGTGCTTCTCTGGGTACGTAAATCGGGTTCCCAGTCCAAGGTTGCCCATAGTTTCTCAGTCTCTAGATCCATCCGAGTTTCTTTGAAAGATTAGGGCTTACACAACCCTTTCAGTGCCTTTTTTATAGCATTCACTGACTCTTGCCTCTTGTGGGGCCACCCAATAAAGAGTAGGTTGCTCTCGGAAATATGTGTCGCACCATTAGTTGCAACAAAACAAAGGCTGATCACTGCTCCCAATTCTGATCTGAATCCCATGCTAAAATGATTGACACTGATGAAATATTATGCCTTACAGTATGTGGGTAGCTTTCACTACTTCGCTGATTTCTTTCTGGTTAATTTTTTGCCCTGTAGATTACCTGACATGTGGGCTGCCTCCTCTCCTATCTCGTGGGGAACATTGTGATTATTATTATACATAATATGATGTCAATATTCTAAAAAAAATATAATATCATGTCATACGGCTGATGAACTTTAATTGTCTTCTTATGCTATACATTTTCCACCGCTGTTTCATTGCCATATTTGGCATTAGTTGCCCTTCTTGTGTTCAAAATGCAAATGTAATTTTTCTGGCAATGTCTTATTCATTGGTCTCAAGCACTTTACCCTAGTCAACCTGTTTGCTTAGGCTTATAAAATGCTTCCTACTTGGTTAATTGAAATTTGTGCGCGTCGCTATTTCCTTGTCACATAAATTACCTTTATATCTGCTCCAACTTTTCTACGATGAAACATGTTGCTCAAAGGAGAGATATATTCATGGATAGAACTTAAAGCGGCCTTTAGC